ACAAGGATGATCAGGGGCCTGGAACATCTGCCCTATGAGGAGAGGCTGAGGGAGCTGGGACTTTCAGTCCCGTAAGAATTCACCCTGAAGAAGAGAAGGCTGAGAGGAGACCTGATCAGTGTATATAAATACCCCAAGGGAGGGGGTGAAGAGGATGGTGCTGGCCTCTTTCAGTGGTGGCCACCAACAGAACTAGAGGTAATGGCCACAAACTGAAACACCAAAAGTTCCCAGGAACTTAAGGAAAAAATTTTTAACAGTGAGGGTGCCAGAGCACTGGAACAGGCTGCCCAGAGAGGTTGTGGAGTCTCCTTCTCTGGAGATCTTCAAAACCCGCTTGGACGCAGTCCTGTGCCACGTGCTCTAGGTGTCCCTGCGTGTGCAGGGGGGTTGGACTAGATGACCTCTAGAGGTCCCTTCCAACCTTAAGCATTCTGTGATTCTATCTTGTTAGTTGCTAGGGATTGAATTGCGCTTTTTGTTTTCAGGCAAGGTATGGGAGCTCCTTCCTGATACTTGAGTTCAGGAGCGCAGCACAGAGGAGAGACACTGAGTTTACGGCTTATTGCTAAATGACATTTCTTGCCTCTATTTCTCCTCCTTCTGTCCCAGAGAAAGCAGACTTAAATTAGAAATAAACTATTTCTAGCACACTTTTTTTTTTTCTAATTCACTGGTCTATTTCTATTTGCTTGACTTGGTTTTGGAGGAACAGTGTTGCCATTTTGTTGGTGAACATAATCTATATTTAGATATTTGTGGCTGAGCTGAAATTGTCTCATTGTACTTGGAGTTCTGCAGTCTGTCACGTGAGATATTGGACCTGGATAGTTTTGTATTCTAGCCCTTTTGAAGTATTTATTGACAATGCAAAAATGGATAAAGGAAGTGAGGATCATGAGCGTGGTTTAATTATCCTTTTTCATATTACCGCATGGTTTGTTTCACTGCAGTTCAGCCGTGACCGTAGAAGGTTTTTTTTCTTATTATTCATTTACTAACATGCTTCCTGCAAACTGGTTTTCAAGCTTTTCTTGCCAATATTTTTATTTTCACACCATAAACATTTCCTGATAATTTTGAAAGTGTGAAAATGTTTCGTCTGTCTTCCAGGTTGTTTTATAAGTGTGGTTGTAAACTAAAATATAGTTTGTGTTTTAAACAGGTTGTAATCCCATTTGTTTTGGTATCATGTGCTTTCGAAGCTGTCCAAGTCACAACACAACTTTCTTCTAAAAGGTATAGTAAGTTCTAAATTTCTGCATTATTAGGGTTTCAAATCTATTTTGCCAGAATTTGTAGTTGTCCAATCTCAGTCTTATTAAAACAAAACAAAGCAACCAAGAGATCATACTGTTACTTCTATTTGGTATTACTGTTCTGGGATTTTGTTGTTTTTGCAAGCTCAGGAATCCTTTGCTGAGTAATAAATGAGTATAAATGGAAGTGTTGGCCCTGTCTGAAACAATCAGGTATTTAATATTCTTTGTTGACAATACACAGCAGGGACACCTTTTTTTCGTTAATGTAGAAAAATGAGCAGAATTTAAAATTTGATTTTTGTTTTATATTACACGTCTGCCTACAGTGAGATTATTTTAAATAACCCATTTGTAATCTAACCAATTGAGTAGCACTGACATCACCACAAATAGAATTTCAGAGAAAGGGAAGGGGAAAAAGCAGGCTGCATGCCTTTCCGTGGAAGTTCAGTACTGCCCAGATGAATCTGTCATCCCACCCTGGCGCTTTCAGTGCACCAGAGGACATGGTGGATCCTCTGCTTCTCATGTAGGATTATGGATGATGCCATGAAGGAGGACGCTCCTTCTGCAGGTCAGGGAGCAAAATACAGTTTTTTGTGATTTGGACAAGTAGGTCTGAAACTCCCCCTCTTTCTAGGAAGACTCGTTTTGCCAGTCATGGGGAATATTCTGTCAGAGTCAGTCCCTAGAGCTTGCTCATTACAACAGCCCCCTAGTTGAGCGCTTGCACAGCACTGCAGTATTGCAATGTCCTGTCTGAGCCCCGTGCAACCTGAGCATGCCTGAGGTTTGCAGTAAGCCAGAGAAATAGTTGGGTTGTTGCATCCTTAGTTACTAATGAAGCATTGCCAGGACTTCAGCAATACTTGAAGATACAACTTTCCCATCAGGTGACATGGGTACGAGTGGTGCCCAGCACAGGCTCATAAGTGCTACAGTAGAACATTAAAAAAAAAGCACACGCACACACAGGCACGCACAAAATTCACATACTTTTGGTGGTGGTGCTAGTAAATGAACTGTGTTCTGCTTAAAGACATTTCTGTTAGTGGGTTAGCTGTTTGCAACATTGCTTCAGTGCCATCAATGTAGAAACTAGTTTTAAGCAGTTCATGGCAACTACTTTCATGTAGTTTATGATTTACATATTTTAATAACAACAAGATTAAGGTAATGGGGGAAAAAGCACAGCTTTTTGGCTTTCCTGAAGTAGCCTGCAGTCTGCCGACGAGACCTTGGGTCTGGGCACATGCCCCAAAATGCCGGGTGCTCCCGGAGCAGCTGGAGGCACCCACGGTCCGGATGGGAGGCTCTCCCCAGCTTTGGCTCCTACTCAGCCAGGCTATCAGAACACAGGTATTTGCATATGCAAAAGCAGTGCTGGTCACACTAGAGTCCACCCTGAAGTTTTTAAATCAGCTTTCTTTGACTTATTTGGCACATAAGCTCCCTGTGTCAGGACAGGGTGCTAGCTGCTGGACAAGTTTGGTTTGTAGCGTTCGGTTTTTGATGTGAATTAGAAGTATGCCTAGCCTTCAGCCTTTGGGATGCTGCTCTTGTCTTCCCATAAATCACTTGTGTTGGGGTTCCCTGTTGCAAAACTGGAGCTCTTTTAATTAAAAATGTCTTTTTCAAGCAGGGTGGGATTACAAGCACCAAATGCTCTGGTCATATATTTTAACTTTCTCTGGTACAGTGACATACATCTGAGCGATTGAAAAGAAATTGTATCGTATGAATTCCTTAATGGGTTTTAGTAAGCTTTGTAATTGTCTGTGGCCACTAGTAGAAGTTGATGGTCTGGTTCTTGCTTTTTTCTTTCAGCCTCTTCCTCATTGTTCTTGTGATTTCAGACATGATGGCTCTGGTAAGCTGCTGTTGCACATTCTGTTCAAATGAGATCCAGAGGCAGAGTACTCTCCTAATTCCATCTGGGAAGAGCCGAATTTGTTTCAGACTTCAAAGTTTTCAGAACTAGGGCACTGAATTTAATCAGAATTCTGGCCTAATTTAGAGATAAAACTTCTCCAATTGCCTCTCTCTGAATTTTACGTAGTTAATGGCTTCTGAAGAGGCAGTATTCTTATTACTTAACCTTCTGACTCTTTCATTTTAAGTTATCATTCCCAGTTTTTTGTATGATTAAAAGTATGTACTCAATGCCCCCTCAAGCTACATTCAATCCAGCAAGCAGTGCCCAATGGTATCACAAAATAAACAGGAACATTTCAAAATAAGCAGGTAGAGTTTTGTACGGACTGTTTTAGTTTCAGCTCTTTGGAGTAAATATTCCTGATGTGAGTTGATTCTACAGTGTGATTTATGGATCTAAGCTTATAGAAAAGCAGCAGGCACAAAACCAAATAATGATTCATTTGTCTGTAGAGTGAAAAATGGAAAAGATATAGTTTTGTGTAGTTTTTTTTAAAAAAATCTTTCCAACTAAACTGAGTTTTTTATAACTACCATAGGAAAGGGATTGAAATACCAGTAAATAACACTCATTACATTTCACTAATAAAATCAGTCCACCTGGCCTGAAAGGGAAAGCAGTGGAGATATGTACTGCTATGATCAAGGTCTTATATCTAACATATTCTGCTTTGACTTAATGATTTTAAAATAAATGTGTAGTGATGTACAAAACAAAGTATGACCAAAGAGGTTTGATATGCAGCAACTGTGTGTATACAAGAAATAAAAAAGATTGTTTTTTTTAAAAAAAGAAAAAGGCTTATGTGGTGTATGGTCTTGAATCTTACTAAATGCTTAATGTGGCCATCACCTAGAATTTGGGGATTAATTTACACAGGTCAAGCTGTGTTTTCTTCTGGCATTTTTCTGCCCAAGGTGCCCAAAGAAATTTTGGGAAAAATTCCAAGAAAATATGGGGCCTTCTCATTGGCACAGACATTAGATGTTATCCATTATTTTAAGCAATTAAATTCGTGAATTTAATTCCAGCAATTTTCTTCCTGACACGGTTCTCTGCTGGTAATCTTTCGTGCTTTCTTCCTGAGACGGTTCTCTGCTGGTAATCTTTCGTGCTTCTTGCAAAGACCTCGACAGAACTTAGTCCCTCTCTAGCTGTTTGTGTTCAATACCACATTAAACTTATTTCTCCCTCCTAGAATATTCTTCACTTTGGTCCAAACGAGCATTCCTGGAAAGGTCTTGCCCTCGTTCTACGTGAAGAATTAAAAACTTCAAGTAAACAACCTGAAAACATTGTTTTTATTTTGTGTTTTATTTCCTAGCACTTTTTCTTTTTGGTTAAAGATTATGGAAGCTGGCTCGATATTGGAACAAGGTACAGTATTTTTTGCCTTCGCTGCATTTTCAAAGTGCTCATAGGTTAATATTGTTGTTTATCTACTTAGAACTCTTGTAATTTTTTGCAATTACTTTCCCTAATCAAATGCTTGAGTAAGGTTCACAGTAGTTAAATCACATACACATGCCCCAACCTAAACCCTGTGTCTTAAAAATTTGTGCCAGAGTGACATGAAATAAGCAGTGGATTTATGATGTTAAGAAAAACAGTACTATTTGTTTGCTTTCTAAAGAACAGTAATTACACAATATGTTTTAATTACTGTTTTGCATTTTAATTACTTTTAATTTCTGCTAAAATATAATTTATCAGAATTGTTAATTGCCTTGAATCTACGTAAGCCTCCACATACAATCCCTGTGAATTAATGAGCCTCATGTAAATGTGTTGGTATCTAGTAAGACCTATGCGATTTTCCAGCCTCAGTTAGAGGAGAATAAATCCGTGATATTTAAACATGGAAATCACTGCTATAACAAATATATTCCAATTTGCATGATGTAACCTTGTAGCCTAAAGGTCAAAGGGTAGAATTTCAGTTCTGCTGTTTTATTTTTGCCTATCCCAGAACTGACAGAGAGTACTGACATTTTGGATGTAACTTCCCTGACTTAGGGAAGTCGGTAATACTCTGCAAGAAGGCTGAGAGAGAACATGTTGTTGTTAACTCAGCCAGTCCAGTCACTTGAGACTGTTATTTAAGCAAAAGTTGAATAGTGACCCATGGTTAGTATTAATATTGTGTTTGCTTTGCTCAGCCCCGTTCTACCTTTGGTACATGCGTGTGTACACACGCGTACCCACACACAGGTACTTTCCGCCTGTTCTTTTGTGCAGATAAAAAATCCTGCTTGTGGCTGCCTTCTGGAAGCTCCCAGTAGGAAATTAAGCTTTTGGTAAATTGGATGGCCTCATCCTCTGGTTATTTGAATTCCCATGTAGATTAATATGTATGTTAAAGACCCAGAAATGTTCTCTTCTGCTGGACGAGAAGATTTCTAATTGGGAGTTAGCAAACAAAAATAAAACCTCTTGCAGATAACCACCAGCTTCCTCTTTATAGCATAGTGATTTATAGTCATGGTACGTTCTTGGATCTATTTCAGCTGGAAGTGTGCCTTGTTCCCAAGACTTCAGGGAAGTTGGTTCTGCACCAGTGTAATTCTCGTCCCGGTGTACAAGCTATGTGCCCTGAAGAAGGCTCTGAAAAGGTCCCTTTGAAAAAGTGATTTGTGACCAATTTATAATATGGTAGCTCACAATGCACAGGCAGCCTTCAATTTGTGGTTACTGCCTTTTTGAGAGCTTCACTTTGCCACCTCCATTATTTTTAGTTCTTTATATATGTTATGTGTTTGTGTCTGTAAAATATGTGTATAAAACAAAGCTTTCTTGGTTGCATAAGAAAACAGGTGAGGCTGTAGGCAGAACTGGAGCAGTCCTTGTCTCTCACAGCAACATTTTGACCCCTGCACCTTCAGATAGGAGCAGTTCTCTGCTTTTTGATACTCAGGCTAGGCCACAGTAGTAGACAACAGTAGGAGATATTTTGGGCATTCCTAAGAGGGAAGATGAGCATTTCACAGGTTGGCAGGCAGCTCCTAGGGGAGATAGGTACTGAAGTGGCTCTTTCCTGTCCTCTTGCTGTCACTGCTGTGACAGTTTGCCTAGTGAAGTCTGAGAGATTCATTTGTCTAAAATCTGTTTGAGTCCGGGGTTATATATGTTGTATTTGGAAAGCTTGTGGTGCGTATTTCCTTTTGTTGCTGTTTCTGTTGAGAGAGTTTTCTGGATTTTTCTAAATAATAGGCTTCAAAACCCTTTTATGTCCTCTCTCCTATGTGCAAGTTCAATAGGACAAACTCACTGGACAGCACTTGAGTATTTCAATGCAAGTGTTCAGACCTTTTTATGTTAGAGATAAGGATTTCACTGCTCTTTTGTGGTGTGCTGGTGTTCTGTTGCGTTGCTGACTTCTTTCATCATGTGGAAGTGTTTCTTCTTTACTCATGTGCTTCCATTTCGTAATTTTGTCCCTGGCTTTGCATCTCATTCTACCTTACTGCATTTCTGCATTAACATGATGTCCTTATTCTCTCGGTTGTACTGCAGCCATAACACTGAAGTTCTGTCTTTGAACATAAAAGAGATTTCTACTTTCCCCTCTTCTCCCAGATTGCTACTGAAATGCTGAGTAACAACAAATCCACCCATACAGTCGCATTCAGCAAATGAGCAATGCACCATCGAGTCCCATATCTCAGTAAATTACCCACTACCGTATTTATCTGTGGCCTCTTAGGAACTTCTTTGTTGTCTTGAACAATTGTGGCACAAAAATGAACATGAACTTTTTTTCAGAGCTTTTCATTGCTTTGATATAAGAATAGGGTAATAATCTTGCAGTGGCCACTTAGGCAAGCTTCAGAGGTCTGTTGACCTTACTATGATCCTCTTACCCTACATGTCTTGGGGTCACCATAAGCTGCGTTATATGCACTAGAAAGTATCCATCCTTAAAATTCATAAAAATAATAATACAGTCTTCCTAGTATCTTTGATATACCTGTTTGTGGTACGTGACCTTGAGAAGTTTGTTCTGACAGATTCTTCTATTTTTGAATAACAGGCAAAAAGAATAGTTAGATTTCTGCTGCTTTGTTATTAAAATTAACGTTTCTATGGCTTAAAAACTTTATTACAGATGTATTTATAGCTTTAAAGATGTATCTGTATAGAATATAAACTTTCTAAATAGTTATATATTCAGATGGTTGAGATAAACAACTGAAGCCTCATTTTATATGACATTATATAGGTTTTTTTCTTTTTACAGAACCACTGTTTTTTATAACAGTTGCTAGAAAATATAGAGATAGATACAATCTGAACTACTCTTCTGCAGTTTCAAAGTTCAGAGGACACAGATAAAGTACAGGAGACTGTTTTTGTTATGTTTTCTTGAAATACAGAAAGCAGGAGAGAATTGTTCTAGCAGCGTTGGTACTAAAAGAAAGTGCACCTTGGACTGGTAATCTGTGCGTATTTTGGGGCCATATAGTAAAAATATTGTAGTTTTGGGGAGATGAGGTTTCTGTGTGTTTATTAAAACAATAGGTGTGTAAATAGAACAAGAGTGCTACCAACAACCTTAAGAACAGGAGCTAAGAGTGACATGGTTTGTGAATTGTTTCAAGTGGAGAGAGGAAGGATAAGGACTCTCCCCTAAAATGCTTAGACTTAAACTTTAGAATCTACATCTGGACTCTTACGTGTAGGATTGTTCCTAAGCACACACCGAAAGTAGCACGTCATGAAGAAAGGGGGCTCTCAAGCTCTCCTGAGAAGAGCTCTCCAAGAGGGGCTAAGTTTTGCTTAGTTTTATTTCAGTTCCAGTTTTTGAATGGCTAAGGTACCATTCTCCATCTTACCAGTTGCTAATCCTGTCTGCTGTCTTAACTATCGTCTGTCTGGAGAGAACAGACACTCTTCTCTGGAGAAGGATCTTTTTTTTTTTCCCCTTCCCCACTGAAGTTTGGTGTCTCCTTTCCTGTATTTGTGAAGCCATCCATCAGCAACCTCTTCTCTTCCCATGCCTTTGCCTGTTCATCTCATCCTTTATAAGTCTTACCCACTACTTAGTCTGCTCTTCCTTGTCCTGGACCTATCTTGCCTGGATCCTGAAGTATCACTTTTTTTTTCTTTTGTTTTTTCCTCTTTATGGAGCTGGAGTAAGCTTGTTTTTAGTATTGCCTGCTTTACTATATCTACACATGCAGCCAAAGCTGCAGTTCGGTGTTGTGTAAGGATCCAGATTTTTCCATCACTGTTGTGACACATACCAGTAGGAGTCTTGCTTTGTTTGCTTTTTTACTTAAATACAGCATTATGCCAACCTGAGAACTAATTTACCAAGCATTGCTGCCTGCAGGCTCTGCAGTTCCAGTTGCTGATAGCCCCGGCGATATTGGCCATTTGCCATTATATGATAACACATAGGCTGAAATTGCTTTTAGTTGTGCTCTGTGGCATAATACATTTTTTCGTTACTCTGAAGATCTGATAATTTAATAAAGGAACATAGCCATTCTGGTTTTTTGTTGTTATTGTTTTTTGTTTTTTTCAGTATAGCAAAGGAGAAATTTCTGTTGGGAAGTTCCTCGGTGCTTGATTTTGTTGTACTGCAAAACAAAACAGAGTAGACTCCAACCTCCCTCTGGCCCTTCTTCCTCTGTGCACATCTTTGAAGATATGATTAGAATTTGCCCACAACTGTGACCGAGCGACCCTGATGCTGGGGTGCGCTTCAAAATCAGGCACCGAGGAATTTCCCAATAGCAAACTGCCATATGATTCAAGAGTGCAAAGTCTACTTTGCCTGTAGTTTTGGTGGGTGGGAAGAGGGGAAAGAACAGGAAAAAAAGTGGTACAGCTTTTGAGAGAATGGGTGCCTCTTTCTACTCCTAGAGCTACAGGTATCTCTTGATCAGACTGGACTTTGGTCTCGGTTATGGCAGGTATCTCTATCTGAGATCTGTCCATTAGCAGTAGCTCATTTGGAAAACAGCTGACTGGCAAGTAGCTAAGCAGAATCGGAGGAGATTTTTCCTTTCAGCAGCCCCGCTTTGTGTTTGCCTAAAATCATCTGTTAGCATCCACGTCTGGCAAAGCCCATTCTAGGGCCAGGAGAAGTGAGATGTCTGCATAAGCCGCATGCTGATGGGGCTCTTAGCAAATACTCAGTAAGCCTCTTATGACTGTCTTAAGGTGTGTGTAGAAATACAGGAGCCCTCATTTGACTTCTGATTTTTGAATTCAGCACTTTCAAACCTTCTTGGAAAGCTAGAATTAGAACATTGCAACTTGCATGAAAAATAAAATTCTGGTGCCCTGCAAGAAGGAAAGCTGAGATACTGACAGTAATGCATGAGACATTAAACAATGCAGCTCTTCACCAGGGTGGTTATTCCCTTAAAAGCTATGCAAATGTCCATGCCTGTGGCACTTGCACAGGCCCCAGGGCATGTCACACCATGAGGGTTACATGAAACCAAGGTTTGTCTCTCACAGTGCAACATTATGTCCCTTCCCATGGAGCCCTGACGCTGAACTGCGGACCCAGTCCGCAGCACACCCAGGTGGATTTCCAAAGGGCGCCCTTGGGAGGGAGGTGTGTTATCTCTGGGCTGTAAATGTGCTGCCAACTACGAAGCCCAGAGGGGACTGCCCAGGTTAGGGCATGCTTTTTGCCCGATCACATGCTCTCGCTGTGTGATCCGGCCCATCCCCTGCCAGAAACAAGGGCAGGAGTAGGAATGTTTCCAGTTGCACTGTGTGCAGCTGGGAGTTCACACAGAGGCAAGGTGCAGGATGCTGGGCTGGATTGTGCCTGCTGAGGTTTGAGGCTGTTTGCAGCAATGGTTTTTTAAGTAATAGAAGTAACTTGTAGCAGCAAAGTCCTTTTCAGTGCTCTCCAGCCTAGTGTATTCAGACTGGTTCCTTGGTTGCTCGCATCCTGGCTATGGAAGAGTTCCCACTCATTAGCGAATTTCTGGATTAGTTTTATTTTCCCATGCTGGTTAGTGTCCAAGCTTTGTTAAAGCCAGTGTTTCTACACTTCACAGAACTAAATTATGCCATGTTAGTGCCAAGACTGTCACAGTCTGGGGTCGTGAGGATTGATAGTGTCAGAATTACGAGCTCTGCTGCTCTTCCGTGGCTAAACTGTCAAACAGAATGAGTCCTCAGGCAGAAATTCCAGACCATTAAACCTCCAAGCACTCCTTGGAATCCTTTTTTTGGTAAATAAGCTCAGACTTCATCAAGTCTGAAGTTATCCTGCTCTTTCTGAAGAGCCATCTGTTTTGAAATAGTGGAGATGTAGGAGGTATGGATACCTCTAATGACAGTATCTTTGATAGACCTAGGAAAAAAATGAACAGTTGCATGGGTGGCTTTGGATGCTGTAATGGACATGGGGTGCAGCAGTATTTCCTCTGAAACTCTAGGCTAAGATGTCACTGGATTCAGGAAAAAAAAAAAGATTTCTTTATGACTAGTGACTTATATTAAAGAGCTGCTTGATTCAAATATCAAACACGGGATGCTGAATGTTATAGGTCAAAACTCAAGTCTAACTCAATATCCTCACTGTAATATTAGTCAAATCAGATATCCAAGCAGACAGAGAGACATGGAGCAAATGGAGGACAGTCTTTCTGCTTGCTATCTTTCCAATAATCAGTGAATGAAAAAATGAAGCTCAGCTGGCATATCTGAGTTGTCTTATTACCGAAGAAAGTCTATCTTGTGGTGAATTCTCTCTTCTGCATGATCCTCAGCACACTGAAATTTTGCAATGGTTTCTGTCACAGAAACCATTGTCCCTACCCTTTTATTTTGCCAGAGATTTTGGTTTTGACACTGTAGTGCTATTATAAAGGTTGCCATCCCAGGGCAGTCTATATAAATGTAGTACTGGACTAATAAGTAATAATTAGATGTGAATATTTTTTCAGAAGGCTATTTAAACTCAATTGTTTTTCTCACATTGTGCATTTTTTTTTCCTTTTTTTCAATCTGTATCTTCTTGCAGCATTAGCCACTACGTGCTGGTGATGTCCTTGACCATATTCATGATGCTGATGAATGGACTGGCCCAGCTGCTGACTACAAAGAGGCTTGAACTTCCCAGAAAGACTAAGCACCATTTGACGTGATGACGTGTTAAATGTTCCTGCAGATTTTCCCACCCTCAGCCTTTCTGTGAACCAACCTCTGACCCTGGAATGTAAATACAAGCTAACAGACTAGAGTGCCAAAATCCCATCCAGGGATCAGAGTGCTCTGCTGATACAGATTAAATGATGTCCCGGGGCTGAAATTTGTGTTTGGAGATTGTCATTTAGACATCAGCTGGGCTAAAATAGCCTCATCCATAAGTGACATCTCTCTTGAAAGAAAAAACAGCAATTAAGGCCTGTTTAGAAGAGAGAGGCAACCATCTTTTGGGTTTTTTTTCCAGTTGTTATAACTCAGCTTCCAGCTGTTCGCCTCACACACACACCTTCTCACTAGGAGTCTGCAAAGTCCTAGCTTCATTGCATGCCTCACATAAGCATCTTGCAGCCGAGGGCATAAACACAGCCAGTCTGGGCAGATGACCGACACGTTTGTTGCCCAGCCTCTGCGGCTGGCGAGGCTTCGTGCAGGCCGTGGAGCGCCGTGGCCTGCTCGAGTGGCCCAGGTGAGGCGAGGAGGCCTCATGCACTGCGAGGCGGCTGCTCTGAGGCGGTTGCTTTCAGCCGGCCGCGGTGCCCCCTGCTGCCACTCACCGCTCTCCTGCTGTCCCCTGTGCTGGCAGGAACGCTAGGGCAGGCGGAGCAGCAACCACATGGAGTAACTGATGCAGTCGAACACGAACCTCATGAGAGAACAGTGAAACACAGCTCAGAGCGACTGGTTCCCCGGGGCCAGCTCATGGGTGAGTCCAGGCAGGAGGGGGCTGATTTTCGGTGGCAAGTGAGAGGAAGATCAGTGTAAAGAGCTGAGGAACCTGAGGCCAGAATAGGCGGTTTGCGTAGGGTGACACCCGTGCTGCCCCTCAAAGGCTTTTTCTTTTGATAACATTTGTGTTCTGCTCCTCATGGCAAGCATCATCCTGATGGTGCTGCGGTGAGATAAGCGCAGACCTCCTGGTGCTGTGTGGGTTACCAGCTGAGGGCAGAGCTCGCTGCAATATCTATAGGCTGTGAATGCTGTTGGCAACCCAGTAACTCTTCCGTGAGACTGAGGTAGCCTTACAGCTTCGTAGCCTCCCCAACGGCAAGTGTCAGCCCTATGTCTGCAAAGTAGGTAGAACTGCAGCACCTAGCTGTGGTTCAATGCTTTGTCACTCCTGAAGTCATCCATTTGTAAGAACTGAGGAAAAATTGTATCACTGCATAGAGCTACTTCTCCTGCCTTGGAAACAGCTTTTTGCATCCGTGCTATCAGTTGGAAGGACCTGTGAAGCAGATTGCTTTACACAGTGAAGAAAGTGAGTCAAAGAAAACACTTTTTTTTCCACTCTTCAGCATGGGTGATGGCGTCATTGACAAATCGTGCTAACTCCATCTTGCAGCCAGTCCTTCCTGTCCAAGAGCTGATACGTACATGGTGCTGGCAGCCAAGGCTGGACATTCGTCATGAGGGCAGCTCCAATACTCGGTTTCCAGCCATCTGGCATTTGGCCGTGGTCACATGGCTGTTTGACACTCTGGAAACCAGTCATCCCTGCAGGAAATTTGGCTGGGAGAAACCAGTCACAAACCTCCATCTGCTTGTTGAGTGCTGGTAAGCATTGCACGGTGGGCCTGCGGTCACCCATGGGGCCCCAGCGTGCCTCTTGTGAGCATCTGATGGCTGGTGAAGGAGGCGTCCTTCCAGCGGGCAGTGGGCTGGTGGCCCTCATGAGCATGTTGTGAGCTCAGCTAGCCCCAGGCACAGAAGATGCTGTAACAAATGTGAGGAGTTCTGTGCTGGAGGGTGGGTGTGCATGCTGACTGCTGCAAGCTGTGCTATACAAGGAGCAACCACGAGCAGGTAGAAGGTTGAGGCTGCAGCAGAGACACATCCAGGCAGGGCAATCCACTGAAGCTGTTCTCCTCAGCTCCAGCAAGGCCTTAGTGGGCAGAATTGTCCTCGCCTCATGCCACACACCACCCCATGCCACGCAGCCCCAAGCTATGAGGTGCTGAACCACGAGCTTTGCGTGACCTAACTGATCTGTGCTGATCTCCGTCCACACTCCATTATTTCCGCGCGCCCGGCTATAGGCAGCTGCACCACTGAGCACTGCAGCCCCTGTGCCAGAGCAATGCTCTTTGCAAAGCTGCTCTTCATAGCGCAAGTTCCCTGATGGGAGCAGCTGAACAGCTGCCTTTGCTCCGTGTGACATGAAGGAACTGACTCAAAAAGTAGGAATGTAGGACCCACAGGGCTGCTGCCCCGAAGGCAGATCTTCCACACACATGTCAAAAATGCTAGTTATCTGTGACAGGGCCAAGTGGATGTCCTACCTACCAAGTGCAAACACTGGAGGTTTGTACTGTCTGTTGCTGTAGGCTCGCTGGGAGGATGCACAGAAGCTGAAACCTGATGTTGCCTTTTATTGCCACGGGGTCTGGGTGTAATACATGGGTTAGCCCTGGTGTCTGTGGTGCTGATAATATCCACCAGTAGGAATAATCAGCGTGCTCTGGCATGCAGGCAAATGAAAGTTCAAAATAGCAACCCACAATGGTTATCTTCTCTGCTTATGGCTTCCATAATGTCTCCTTTCACAGAGATATGTTTTTTTTTTTTTTTCCTTTTGTATTCCTTCCTGTAAGATCAAAAAGGGGATGATGAGTGTGGAGGAGCCGTCACAACATGCATACCCATTTTTCCCCAATGCTTCTTTGAAAAGGCCTGTTCTAGTTTGCCGTTTGCCCTGACCGGGCTGCAGCAGTAGCAGCCTTAGCTGACCTTTCCCTTTCCCCTGCCAAGCCCCTGTATCCGTGTCGTTTGCAAACGCTGCTCCTAGCACGTGCCATGGGAGTCCTGGAGAGCAGCTCTTGCAGAGAGACCGATTGGCCGTGCTATTCCTGTATCTCCCCAGGGGAGGCTCTTGCTGGAGTCTTGGCCTGCGCATTTGGGTTTACTCCAGCACGGGGAGGTGTCAAGAATTCTCCCACGCAGCTACTTTTTACAGCCCAATGGGCTATGTGGCAAAGTAGACTCTTGCTTCCTACTGCTGTGTGTTCCCTTCCTTCCCAGGAACAAATGTCATATGCAATAAAAAGTCTTCCACAGCCTTAAAAGCTAAGATAGGTAATAAAATGTTGCACTCAGCTGATTTTAGGCTTTCTGCTGTTCTGCTTGTGATTATTAAGCATCATCCTTCTTCATGAGCATCCCTCTGGGCACAGAAGCGCGTGTGCAGGCCAGTGCAGGTATCGGGTAGCTCTTGTGTTTTCTCCTAGGGGCATGCGGGGCAGAATTACCCCAAGCCCTCCTTCTTTCCCTCCACCTGCAGCAGAGTCACAGACTCAATGACTCCTAGAGGAGGTGAGGCTCCACACAGCGACAACCTCAAGCAGGGAAATGCAGATGGATTGACATCATTATTTTTGCCTGGGGCTATGCTTTTTAAGTATATTGGTAGCATAAAAAAACACTGGAAAGCTTAAATTTGCCGGCTTTCAGAGCCATGGATCCCTGAAGATACAGTCATAAACCTGAAGTGCCCAGCAGGACTTGCAAGGTAAGCAAAGCTGTGCTGAAGAGCCACTGTTAAAAAGATCTTGTATTCACCCATTCTAGGAACTGAACTATTCTCTGCTATTGGATTTTCAAGACTGCACACAGCCTTTTGATATAATTCCAGGGAGTGAGCTGTTTCTTCAGAGATGATGAAGCTTAGATTGTATCAAGGTCTCTTATGACTCAAACTAAATGACTTCCCCCTCTCTCCCCACAGAGTAAATCAGATTTTACAAGCTTTGGCAATTTCAGTGCATGCCATAGCTATTAGTTGTAAGCACAGCTACAACCTTCCCTGTCTTGAATGAGCCCGAGGATGTGAATGAACGGTCATAGTTTAACTTAAACCTCGGGAAGATGCCGTGGTGGAGGGCAAGGTCGGAAGCTTCTGTCTCGACCCTCTCCAGGCCGTGCTCTCCATCGTGGTGGCTGGGAAGCTCTGGGAGCCACCAGCTCCATCCTGACAAGGCTTCATCCAGCGCTAAGCCTAGGGACTCTGCCTTTTCTCCCCTTGTACCCTCCGGCTGCCTCTGGGCAGCTGCCCTGTGACCTGCTGTGGCTGGGGCAGGTTGGGCAACACATCTTGCTAACCGGAAAGGTCTTGCGGCAAGTGGACGGAGATTCTGCTGTTGGAGTTGTGTCCTCAGAGAGCAGGGTCCCAGCATCTGCTAACGTCAGTAAGGTGGGTGGGATCCAGTTCGCCTCTTAAAAATCCTGAATTCAGCTGCTTTCCCCAAGGGCCACTCTTTCAGGCCCCAGGGCAGGGCTCAGCGTTTGAGCTCCCAGCCCAGGCTGAGGAGGATGAAATGAAATGTTGCGGGGAGAAGCTGGAAGCATGGCGCTTGCCCTGTTCCCGTAACCTTTGACTTCACACGCGTCGATATGTTCTTCATTTGTTTGTTTATTGGCTTATGTTTGGCCTGACTTTCTGACTCTCAGCATGGATAACATCAAGCGGAAAAAAACACACCTTATTTTTTTGCACTTTCTTTTCCAGGCATGTTGTAACAGCATTTTTTTTTTCCTTTAATGTTCTATAAGGTGAAGTTGACATGGGATTTAGCATTCACTTGGATCATTACTACTGACAGTCCTGCTAATGGCTGGATATCATCCAGTGAATTAAGAGAAAGAAAAAGAGCAGGAAGCGAGCGATGGAGCTCTAGTTCTGCTCTGAATTTCTTGCCCTCCGTAGCCCTGCTTCTCAGGGGCTTCGCACGCACACCAAGGATGGGGGAGGGTGCTGCTCTGTGCCACGTGCTCTGGATGTGGTTGGACTAGATGATCTCTAGAGGTCTCTTCCAACCTCAACCATCCTGTGATTCTGTGAGGTCCTCCTGGGCTGGGCTGTCCTGCAGGCCTCTGGGAACGGGTTCTGCGCTGCCCGTGCGTGTGGCGTGCGTAAGCAGGGGAGGGACGGTGGAGAAACAGGCCCTGGGCACTGAAATTTAAATTGCTCCCCGTGTGCCCATAACTGGGTCCAACATTTCGGCCTCGCAGCAAGACGAGGGGTGAGATGGGGGCAACTGCGCGTCACCAGCCACGGTCCCCACTGCGCTCCCTGCCCGCGGCCGCCCCGAGCAGCAGCAGCCGCCGGGAGCTCACGGCAAGGGTGCATGTCCACCCGTAACTGCTGCA